TCTAATCTAGCTCACTTTGGCACAAAAATAAAAATTAGCACTCTTACCTATTTCTCCTTTGTCATTCAAATCAAACTCCATGTATTTTTCTGTAATACAATAAGCACAGTCTCATTCAAAATAATTTTGACAGTCCACCAACTAAAACTTTAACTGAAGTCGTCTGTGAATGCTATAGTACCATAGTCGATTTGTCTACCACCTGCTACTTTTTTATTTTTATGTATTAACAAAACAAACAATAAATCATCATACACATAATATACACAATACATGAACCATAATATAAAAAAATCACTGTAGGAAAGAAAACATTTGAATATAGATTGGCGGCCCTCACTTTTAAACATTTCAAGTTTCGACGCAAGCTCTTCCTCTTCTGCATATTGGGGATCTGAAAGAAAGGCCTGGAGAAGCACAAGGACGTAAAACAAATTAATGTCTATAACCTGGCGACTTTTCATGAAGATATTATGATTATACCTCATTAACAGAGTTCAGTTTTTCTTCCTGATGAGACTTGAGGACACCGTATGCTTTACCACCTGTGAGAAACAAATCATCCATTCAAGAAATGCAAACCCTACTGTTGTTTTAACTGCACTGACACAATGAAAGAAATTAAAGAAAAAAAGAAATCTGACTAACCTTGAACCCTGCTGTCCATCTCTGTGCAGAGCTGAGCCACTGTGGAAACTCCACTGACACAGTGAAAGCTTTTGCTGGTGCTGTTAGAGTCAGAACAGGAAGTGCAGCGACAAAGTTTCCATTTGCATTAGTGAGGTTCCTATTTCGTATTTAAGGTTGCTGCAACTTGAGGTCAACTGGAGGATGCATATGACAATATTCACAGTTAAAAGCTCTGTTGTAACACTTCATTGACATTTGTTTGCTTGAAGGATAAATACTGTGTAATAGCTGAGGATGGATTTATTCAAATGTATAAGCTCTTATAAGATTGAATTTTAATTTAGTTAGAAAAAAAGATCAGAGATAAATACACATAACTTTAATAATTCATTAGCTTATGAGGCATTTGTTTGGCAAAATTATTTTTTTGTTATTGAGGAAATAGTCAATTCCTCTTTCTCTTTTTACTTTCCCTACTCACATTTAAAACCTGAGCCCCATGGTTAACTTGATGATAACGTGTGCTTTATAATGGCCAGTGGTCAGGTTGATGTAATGATTAGTCCTGGCTACATGGTGGCGCTATTAGCCAAGTAAACAAGTCAACAGAGCAAGGACTCACTGTGCAGGTAGTTTCCTGATGACACTTCTGTGACACCTGAAGAACTGAAAATAGAAACTGCAAGTCTAAAAGATAAAGCATTTTGTCTAAGCTTGCACGGAGAATGGCAGCATTTTATCCACAGTGTCTCTTGTCATGTCTCGTAATGATCATATCAGACTGCAGAGGTGAGTAGGTCAATGAATAATCTTAATCAGATTAAATCAGTAAAATCTGTTTTCTTTCTAACCATCAGTAGACAATTCTCCTTTTGTAGTATTCAGTAAATATCATTTATAACTTTTTTAGTCTTACATTTCTGATACTGAACGCAGATCATTTTCAAATACACTAAACAGTATTTCCACTATATGCTTCTCAAACTGGTTAAATACTTTTCTTTTTGTCGATCATCACTTCAAAGCTGACTTACCACCGACTGTGTTGGCTTCTCGAGAAGAGGATGTTACTCTCCCTTGTGTCGATGCAAACGTGACGGATCCGAAGAGCTGCTACAGAGTCAGGTGGATTAAGTATTCCGCAGACGCTGGTCAGAAGAAAGTGGTCATGGCCTGGTCTCATAAATCCCAGCAGGCCGAACGTGTGAAACTAAAAGTGGATGGGGAAAAACAGATGTCTCTCCTTCTCACAAATGTACAAAAATCTGATGAGGGACTCTATAGCTGTGAAATGTGCCAAGGCTGGGACTGTGAGCTGGTCAGAAACATTTCTTTAAGAGTAAAAGGTGAGATGACACGTTTTATTCTCATTATGTTCCAAATAAATCCCAAATGAATCACGTATAAAAAAATCTCTCCTCTCTCAGACTGCAAACTCCTGCCAGCTATGAACGCAGCACCCAGCGCACCCATCAAACTGGATTTCCCAGTGGACGTAACATCAAGGCCCCAGAATATCTCCTGGTTGTTGCTAAAGGGAGGTCAGCCTCTCCCCCTCCCCTCTGACCGGTTTCAAGTCAACCACACATCACTGGTTATCCAGCCTATGAGAGCAAGTGACAGCGCGTGGTACAGATGTGATTACATTTACAGACAAGCTAAACGCTGCTTTGACATCAAAATTAATGTCCAAGGTAATTTCTTAAGCAATTATATTTGGCAACATCATTAACACCAACAAATGACGATACATAACAATGCTTTTTCTCTTTCCTTTATTAAGGTGAAGGTGCTGTCGAGGTCACAATGTTTCCAGTCGCTCAGCAAGGTTTGTTTACTTTTTTGTGTATACATCCTGTCAGTTCATTTCTTTAATTCACTACTCTTGTCCTTCAGTGCTGACAAACACTGAGCCTCCCTTAGAAAACGGGCCGGAGGAGAGCAAGGGAACACTTATTGCAGTTGTCACTTCAGTTGTTATTGGGATTGTCGTCGCTGCTGCAGTGATAGGAGTCTTAATTTACTCCTGCCGTAACACCCAGAGAGTCCCTCAGCGAACCCAGAGGTCACCAGCAGCAGGTCTGATCTGTGCACATGCTTCAGCTTTGACACGACTGCAGTGTCAAGTCTCCTTACAGTTGCTTTTTCTCTTTTTGTCGATCAGGGACACTTCCTCAGTGTGATGTTTATGAGACTATATCACTCTCAGATGGTGAGAACCGCATTTCTCTCATTTCCTGTTTTGTCTCTGTCACCTGACCCCCCCACCAGCTTGGTTGTATTGTCCACTGACAACCTTTCATTTTATCTCACAGATCCCTCAAACTCACGATTCAACAGTATCTACCAAGTCGGGGATGAAACCATCTGCACGTGTAAGTGGTACATTTAATATGAAATCACAGAAGCATACTTTAAGTCTCTTCATGATGAAATGACCAAATAACAACTTTTCTCACCTTTATTACAGTTCACTATTAAAAGCTGCTTGTTGTCTAATCTGGATTGCTCGTGGACATAGATGGTGCATCTAAACATCTGTGACATCAACTAAACAAGAAGTTTTCAAAATATGAGACAGTTTATTTTAGAAATACAGTATTTTGGAGTTCGGATTTAGCTGTTTTTCCTCTTTCCCAGATACAGAAACAAATAAATACTTTCGGTTGGACCTATTTATGTTGTTAGTGCAGTTTGAAATGTCACAAGAGCTAAAGCCTTCAATTAAACTTTATTTTATGAGTTAGTTTTGAAAAGAAGAGTAACTGTGACCATATTCCCCATTTGTAACCTTCTATTTTACTTAAAATAATTAACAACATAATCTTTCATTAAAATCCTTCACTTCATCCAATTTGAAGTCATATCTGCAGGTTGATGAATGATCACACATTCTTTGAAAATAAAGTTTTTATTTCATTGATGGTTGTGAAATTGCTTTATTTAGGTTAAAATAGGGACACAAACAAATTCAGATCTAGGTCACAGCTTGTAATAAATCATAGAAACTGTCAGTTGTGGTGACAGCTTCTTTGTTGGTTTCTTTTTTCTCTTGTAGTTCCGTATTGTTTACATCCTGAATAATCTCATACACATGAGTCTGTGAAGAGGAATTGGAAAAAAAAGGAAAGTTTTTACTTTAGGATATTTCAGCTGCACAAAAAGATTATTCTGCTATTTCTATTTTTTTGTTGTTGTCTCCATCAATATGTTTCTGTCTGTGTTTGTTTATTAGCAGCACAAACTTCTCAACCAATTTCTAAAACATTTTGTGGAGGGGTAGGGTGTGACTAAAGGAAGAAGCCATTTCATTTTGGGCCTGATGAATTTTTCTTTTCACTTTCTTTAAGATTTTCCTTGATTTCTCAGAGAATAACTTATGGAACTTGATGAAAAAAAACTGTCATGTTAACAGGACCACTATTTATGAGTGTAGGCTAACTTTGTGAAGATCCTAATGAAAATCTGCGTCAAATATGAAATGTGGTTTCATAAGGGGACTGTTGGGCCATAGTGGAGGTATGTGCTCCACAGAGTGACTTTCTATTTTCTTCAGCTTACCATTCCAATACTTGACTGTTCATGTGCTGCAAAAAGAGATGAAGGAAAACATTAGCCATGTAGTTAATGTTTCCTTGACAACAAGGCTCAGAAAAGCTCATGAAACCAGAGTTAAATCAGTACTCGCCTTGTTGCGCTTCCTCTTAACATAGACTGCTCCAGCAGCTACACACATCCCGAGGCCCAGAGGAAGGAATAACCATGCTGGTGTTTGCAAAGCTGGGGACAATGAATAATTATCGTTTTCACCCTGTTTCAGAAATAATGGAGCATCATGTGGGTTTAATTTAGGAGAAAAGTGCAACAATATCATGACACATACTTACAGCTGACAGAGCGCCACTCCTTTGTTGCCATCACAACACCCTCTCTGTGCACAGAGCATTTTATTTCAGCCGAGCTCGGAGAACAAATTGGGAGAATAAGCTTGTTTACAAGAGTGTTACTGTGGTTTATTAAAACACTCTGTCGGATAGTTTGGCCTCTTCCAGACCAAGTTAGATTAAAGTCTTTGTCACATGTGTTAGTGCAGGTAACGTCAGTGTGTGGCACACACGTCAGTGTGAGATTGTGTCCTCCTGGTCCGCACTGTGAAATAACTGTGAACACAAAACATTTGCAGAAAAGTTTTAATAGCAGTTAATGTGGCTTTATTCAAAATTCCAGTGTGTAATATTTAGATGAAAGGGATCTATTGGCAGAAAGTGAATGTAAAATCCTGGTGATGTTTTATTGAGTGTTTTTCCTCTAAATTGTACAAATTGTTGTTTTCTTTACCCTAGAAAGGCCCTTTACATGTAAATACTTCATATTTACATCAAGGAGATCCTCTCTACGGAGGCTGCCATGTTTTTTTTACAGTAGCCCAGACTGGACAAACAAAACATCTTTTGAGTTTTTATGACAATTGTAGGCTGCCACAGGTTCTCTTTCATGTTTGGAAGGGGAGGGTGAGGTGAAGGGGTTTCAGCTGTACTATGCAACTTCACCACTAGATATCACAAAATTCTACACACTGAACCTTTAAGTTGAACAGATGTAGTACTCACCATCGAGGGTGTGCAGTTTGAGTTTGTTGAGCACTTTTTTCTCATCAGTGGCCTCTGAACACTGGTAGTCTCCTGCATTCAGAGCCCTCACTTCACTGATGAGCAGTGACGAGTCTTTGTTAAAATGAAAGGGCTCTGATTGTCCCTTTTCAACTCAGGTATCATGTGTGACTGGTCTTCCGCTCACTGCCCACCTCACGCTGCCACTAATGCCCAGAGAGGAAGTGCTGCTGCAGGGGAACGACACTGACTCATCCTCAACAGTGAACACTTCCTCTACACCATCTGGGGCAAAGGGAGCCATGGTTACACTTGTGAAACAGATGAGAAACGACATCTTTCATTTGGAGTGAGCACAGATTATTACCTATTATTGTTGTCGTGTAACTGACGGAGGCTTTAACAACCTCATTCTGAATCACTTGGCATCTCCATTTCCTAAGACGGTCCGTCAGTTTCTTCTCGATGATCAGTTTAGAGAAACATTCAGACGGGTTTTCAAAGTGAAATCTGTTTCCATTTATCGGAGTGTTATCCTCAGCGCTCCACATGATGTGAAACCCTGCGTTGTTACAGGCAACGTGTCCTTTATATGTGTTGAGGAAACACTGAAGTTCCACTGTGCCCTCTGCAGGACTTGGATTCTCAGTAACTGGTGAATGAAAATGTGACCACAATATTGCAATTTATAAAATCAAAGGACTGTTCGAGCGACCGGGTGAATGAAGTCACTTACGTTGAAGAATCAGAAGGGAAACACTTGACCTGAGAGCTCCACTGTCACAAGAGTAAAGTTGTGCATCGTTGAGCACAGGGCGGTTGATCTCCAGAGAGCATTCCTGCAGCAGGGCCAACCTGTGGAGGTTTGGAGCGCTCACTCTTCCAGCTCTCACCACCTCAGTGACTGAACCAAACTCTCCAGCCATGCTCCAATTAACAGAGGAACACGATCTGATAGAGGAAACCCCACATGGCAAAGAAACACTGTCTATAGGGAAGGAGGTGTTCATTAAGAGAGCTAAAAACTTAAGTTCTTTGATACCAGTGACCCTTAACATACTGTAACTCAGTTGATGGTGAATACATGTGTTTCAGTTCAATTCATTTTAACTGTGCATTCATTTTGCAGTAAAGGTTTCAAATTTCTTTTAAAATTAGCTCATAGAGAGTACGTGTAAAACTTTTCAGTTCAATTTCTATAAAGTGAGATATTATAGATATAAAAAAGTGAATTGATAACAGACCCTAAAAGCCTGGAATTATCAAACCGTATCCCACAATAAATTAACTACAGATTAAATGAATCAAAAAAGATTATCATTGATAATTAATAATCATTTTGTAGTTACCAAGTGACTGAACCCCAGCTGTTGTCCATGTTTGTCCACTAGGTGGTGCTATCAGACCCAATGACAGACATCCTTATTGTTGCAACATAAATTGAGTTTGAGCAGTTTACAGTTGCATGTAGAATGTCTATCAGTGGAGTACAGGGCCCAACAGCATCCAAATGAAATCACATTTAAATTCACTAGACCTGGAATTTTGTTTTCATCAAGATCCATGAATTAGAGAACAAATCCTGGATAGGTCAAGAACCTCAGCTTCTCATTCAGGTTTTGAGTCACATGCTGTTCCACATAAATCAGGATCTGGCAACGAATACAGCAAAGACCATAATGTGCCCTTCATTTTAAAGATTGCGCCTAAACATGCTCAAGAACTAACATATCTGGTCTGGAGACAAGTGTTTATAATTTACGGGTTGTACATGTGGCCTTGGTGAAATGGCTTGATTGCATTTTTCAAAATTAAAGCCCCCTGTTTTAAATATGTTCTAGATGTATGAAATTTGGGAAACACGTCCGTCATATTGAGCCTTTAAACAGGCTCCTGGAGCAAAAACCCTCAACCCAACAGGAAATCTGTCATTTGGAAATCAATATCATTAATCATGCAATATTGGACCTCCTACTTATAAGAAACTTTTACTAGGAAACATATTGAACAATCCGATCAACATCAAATTTTGCCTCTGTGGTCTTAAGACAATGTTAATATGAGAAGGTTTTTAGTTTTGGTTGATCTGGTCTGTGATGTGGAATTTCTGTTTTTTGATGAAACAGGAAGTACTTTACAACTGACCTGTTTATGGTCAAACCTGTAACAAGCTTAACACATCAGGACAATACTCAGTCTCAGTATATGAGGACTTTACTGAAGGGTACATGATCACTCATGACTGCAGAGTTTTCTGATTGTCTTAGACAGCAGCTGATCATATTGTGGTAATTCCTTGTTATATATGTGTTATGCCTTGATGCCATCAGTGATGACTGTCATAGCACTGATCACTGATCATTCACATGGAGACTATATAACCTCATAATTAGGTCAAGTTTATTTATAAAACACATTTAAAACATCCAACAGTGAGTTGATCAAAGTGCTGTACAATAAAAAACATGAGGACAAGTAAAAGAACACATCAAATACAACATTTAAACCTGCACTATAGAGTTTGCTTTGGCAGAAATCAAATTGATTCTGGGGTTTTCATAAACACAAATGTAAAGTGAATATCATGGTTCAAAGTTCACTAAAACTGAAGTCCATGTGAAACCACGCTGTAGTTTGCTTTGCCACAGGAAACGTATTGTTTTATTGTTTTATTTACAGAGAAACAGAAAACAATTCATTCACATGCACAGAGATGCAACTAATGTTTCAGAATCAAGTAAACGTATGCACCCTCTGCAGCTCAGGGATCAGTCATAGGTCTTGGACGTGCTAAAACTTTGTAGGACTTGATCTTGAGCACCACACTCGCAACACCTCTCAGGTCGGGCAGAGACGCCTGGCCCTCGGGAAGGACGAACTGAAAATCTCTCAACAAGTAGGCCGTGAACAGAAAGAGCTCCATTTTGGCAACAGACTCCCCCAGGCAGAGCCGAGCGCCCCCTCCAAAAGGCACCAGGGAGCGGGTGGTGGATCCTCCTCCCTCTCCTCCTTCCAGAAAGCGCTCTGTGGGAGAGAGAAAGCAGCTACTTTATTTGAGGTCTGCTGCTGAGCCAAGTGAAAGGAATTTGCCCGGTAGTACGAGCAGTACCTGGTCTGAAGCTGTATGGGTCAGTCCACACTGCAGGATCATGGTGAGCTCCAAAAAGATTAGGAATGATGACTGTGTTCTTAGGGATGAAGTAACCTGCAATGCTGAATATGAGATTATACATCTGTCATCATATAAAGTGAAGGGCAGATCAAATATTGTAGATAAATTAAACGTTATTTATTTAATGATAATGTAATGTTCACTTCAGAAACACACACAGTTACGTGAGGCACACTTTAACTGTAGGAGATTGAGGGTTTTTCTAAATTTTCAATGATTGACTAATTCATGGATCTTGAGGAAACAAATCAGATATATTTAGGGCACCTATATACGAGTGTGTGCAATTTGGTGCAGATCCAAATAAAATATCCAGATCTAATGAATTTAAATGTGGTTTCATTTGGGGACTGTATGCATTCCTCTAGTCGATGCTTTGTTCTCGTCTCTGTGCGAACCTGCTGTCTCTGATGGCTCTGTGCGGCACAGCCAACGGGGCAACGGGTCTCAGCCTGAGCACCTCGTTGATTAAAGAGCACAGGACGGGGAGTCTCTGTCTGTCACTGTACTTGGGATATCGGTCCTCCAGTACTGTGCACAACTCCTCATGCACCATGGTCTGCACCTGGAGATTTTAAACAACAGAGGACAGATATATGGATATGAACTTTATAAATGTGTTCATGGTGTGTTAATAAAAATGTTCCCTGCCTCGGGCCTGTGCAAGAGGAAGGCAACAGTCCAGTTCAGCCAGGCTGCAGTGGTCTCTGTTCCCCCAATGAGAAGATCCACAGTGGCCATGTGCACGTGAGTGTCTGTGAGGAGCTGTAGCAAACAATATAAAATCCAGTTCATAGTCTGTTTAAACACATTTCATATTGACCTCCTGGGTTCACTACTCACCACTCCTTGTTTTGTGTTGCACTGTTCCTCAAGGCCCTGGAGGAGGGAACCTGTGATGGCGCCCTCGTTCTTTTTGTCTTGTGACTGCACAGAGAACAAAGTCACAGCTGATCATCGTGAACAGAAGAGAGCTGGGATTCAACAACTGTTCTGCAAAGAATATTTGATTTGAAAGGTGAATCTATCTGAGATGATTTCTCATTATTATTCTGTCTTTTGCTCTAAAAACCTACTTTTACATTAGCATCTGGAGGATAATGTGTCTCATACTGGTTAGCCCTCTCAACACATTTTGATGCCTTTTATTCTTTGGTATTTGTTGTTACAGACCTTGTAATTGTTGATATGTTGTTTTATAATCTCATCCCTCCTGGCCACCTCTCTCAGGAGACGGGAGAACACTGGATTTGGAAGTTTCTTAGAGAGAACAGATGTTATAATGTGTGTGAATTCCCATTGTGCACATGAATGTGAGTCTCCTCGTGCTTCCTACAGTCAGATGGGTTCATATCTACTGACCCTGAGCAGTGGGTAGGAGTCCAGAGCAGTAATCCAGGGGGAGCCCCACAGAGCAACTATTTTATTCAAACAGTCGTGCAGCTGATGCACCTCTGAGGAACTCTTGTCATACTAAAAACACACAGAGATTTATGTTTTAAAACTGCAAATGAAATGCACTGTAACAGCAACTGAGCAGCACATTGTGAATACACAGGTAATGGAAGCTGCTAAAAAGGGGCAACATAAACAGTGGAATTCCCCAGTTTCCTGCATAAATAGGCATCGGAAGCTCTGCTCTGCCACAACCACAACTGTTCATTGATGAAAAGCTAATTTATAGACACAAACCAAACTGTGGAGTGAAAGATTCTCACTTCTTTTCCAAAAGCCAAGGTGGTGATGACATTACTGGCAGCCATTGAGAAATCCTCAGAGAGATCCACAGCACTTCCTTGATAATCCATCAAAACCTGAACAGTGAACAAACTACACTTTACCTTTTTATGTGATCACTTTGGAAACAGACCGACATTCAGTTTGAATTCTGGATCTATGCTTTATACTTTATAGACTATTAAGATTTTTAGATTACCCTGTTCCTCTTGTTATTCATACCTTTCTCAGAAACAAGGCCTGTCTCTCGATCACATTATGCAAAGACTGTTGGCAGCAGCGCTGTAACGTGCTGTGGACGAGACGTCGATGGGCCCTCCACTCCTCACTATAATCCCCAAGAGAGATGGTGCGCCCTCCTCCGGACACAGTGTCACCTGATACAAGTCAGTAGTGGTTTTAAGGACAAACACTAACTCATTATTCTTGCATTCCTACATGGAAAAATAAGTTAAAGTCATTTACCCGTGTATGAGATTGGTCTCCCCGCAAAGTCAGACCATTTCTTCACCAGTGCTTCTCTTATAAATTCACTACTGTTAAGTACCACCATGGCTGGAAAAAAAAACAGGGTTTTGGTGTGGTGACCATCTAAACCTGATTACAACAATATTCAGTAAAGAAATCTGAAAGGATTACTTGTGTTTCCAAAATTCAGCCGGTAAATGTTCCCGTAGCGTTTTGCCAAATTGGTGAATTGAATCGGCAGATGATCGTGTGCCAGTTCCATCATATTGCCGATGAAAAAGTGGCCGGGGGGACCCGGGAGCAAGGGAGATGAGGAGCAGGGGAGACGTCCAGATTGAGCGTCTGGACAGAGTTAGTAAAGAGAAAGGTAGGTTAGACAGAGAGAGATAGGATGATGTGAAATTATATTAACACATTTGACCAATAATCTAGTTCTGTGATCTGTAGTTATTCATATGTGGAATAATCAGTGCAGTCAAACATGCACATGAGCACAACAAACACATATTTTCCTGTTGACTTACCTCCCATGCGATTCCGCTGTACAGATTCGTCTCTGCGAGCTGAGATGAAGCTGAGTACCATCAGCAGCAGTAAAACTATGAACACAGCTCCCACACTGACCATTGATAGCTCCATGTTGTGACTTCTTGCTGGTGTCCCACTGCAGAAAGCAGATGGTCACGCTGCTCATTCCATTTATTGTCACCTCAACCGTCTCTCAGCATATCTGCATGTTGATGTTTTCACCAAAATTCAAGGATGTCTAAATATTTTCTTGGTCAGGATATCTTACAATGAGATGAACGCAACACATGTAACAAGAGACAGCCTGATAAACACGGCCGCTTCGTGCTGAAGGGCAAAACAACACATCTGAGCTGACACAGGCTTCGGTTTATCTTGTGGGGAAAAAGAGAGCACACAATGAAACAACGACACTTCAGACCCACAACAGCCACGTTTATTCCAATGGAGTGAGACAGTGCATATTTAATTACAGTAGTAGTGGGGTGGCATGGCGGTGCACCAGAAGGTATTAAACTGTGTGATAATGTACGGGTCAGGCAGAACAATAGAAACGTATACAAAAAGTTGCAATTCAAATTTTAACCTCTCTTTTGGTATATTTTCCTCCAGAAAAAAAAATTGCATACACACATTGAATCAAATGTAGTGATAGCCGTCATTATAGCGATCAAAACCACTGCACACGCTATTTCAGTTGGAGAATCAGACTGTGAGATCCGCCCTCCTCTTGATTTTTTACATCAGATGTGAGTTTTTCTGATGGACACTGGTGAACCTCAGCCGTGAGTTGCAGGGGAGAACCTGGATGGTCTGAACTTCATCTCGGTGAAGGGGATGGAGGAGTCTTTGCCTTTCCAGTCTATCCACACGACTCCCTGTGTTGGAGAAAGGGGACGATATCTGGTCAATGTGGTGCTGCACTGAAGATAAAACTGTTTAAAACCAAAACCTTGGAGACAAATCCTTACCTGATTGTTACTGTTGGTTCCATAAAGACCATTGAGGTTGGTCTTGTAGCAGTTCTTGTACCACCAGCCTCCCATGTAGGCCCGGGCACAGTGGATCCCCAGAGGATCGGTGTCCTTGTCCCGAGTCGAGAATGAACGTCCATTATGGTATCTCATAGAGTCACCTGACAGACACACAGCAATGTTAAGGAATGAAATATAGTATGCACTGCTACACATGTTCTGGAAAATTCAACATGTTCACAGTGTTCACCTGCAGTGCCTGTGTATCCGGACACGGTGAGAGTATAGTGCCTCTCCTCGGAATCGATGGAGAAGTTGCCATAGTGAGCGTAAGCTGTGTCGTTTCCAGACTGCATGTCCACTCTAAGACTCACCGGGCCGACGCTGGTGAGGTTGTGGAGAAGTTCATTACCTAAAGTAGGTAGGAAGAAAGAGCAGATGTAGATTACAGGCTCATTTACCAGTTAATACTTGTGATAATGGGATAATAATTAGTTTCTTCCAACTATACCGAGCCAGAACTCTTCACTCAGGTTTCCAAAGCCGGCGCTGTATTCGTTCCATGTTCTGTAGAAATCTGTCTTTCCATTCATCCTCCTCTGAAAGACCTAGAAACACCACATCAAGGCAGATTGTTGTCCACTTTCCAAACCCATTCTACCCTTTTCTTATTTAATCTAGTCTTGTTGAAGCAGCAGGAGTTTGTCTCACCGTCCAGCCACCTCCATCGGTCTCCATGTCACAGTAGACTCTGACCGCTTGTCCCTCCTTTCCTTGTGGGTAGATGTCCACCTCACCTGACTGCAGAGCTCCGTTCAGCAGCTCCTGAGAGCACTCAGTTGGGAAAGGGAATCGCACTTTACCTAAGGAACAGAAGGAAAAGCATTAGTTGGGTGATTATTGATTATGAGTATTCGTGAAGCAAATAAACTGGCATTACTTCACATTTATTTATCACCTGTGATGAATTCTGTGGTGACAACAGACGTGTAGTGTCCATCTCTCTCGCCTTGCACCAGAACTATGTAGTGGGACATGGGCAGCAGCCCTGTCACCTTATACTCTGTGATGGTTGAGTCTAGGGTCACCTCCTGATGTATATGCAGAAACACACATGCAAAGTTAAGTTACAAAAAGCTGTGTTTGTTCTGCAAGTGCCATTGATGGAGGGATACTATTCACCTTTGCCTCTTCTCCTGCCACCTGATAGATAATTCTGTAGCTGTGATAGACAACAGTGGAGCTTTTCCACGTTATCAGTGCAGAGCGAGCCCCCACCTCACTGGCTTTAACCACTGAGGAACACAGATTATCCAGGTTACTCGCAAATACTGTGGAACTCAGCCAGTAAACAACACTGATCTGCCCCAGCCTCTCCACTCACCATTAGCAGTGGTAAATGTAGTAGAGATGGCCATGCTCTGCAGACTGTCCTTCTGGCTCAGCACTTTGACTGTGTACAGGGTGCCTCTCTGCAGACCTTTCAGCTGGTGCTCCACTGAGTTTCCAGACAGCATCACTGTTACCGTCACATTAGGAGCTGTGGCACGAAGGAGAATTAAAGAAGTAAGAATCACATTTGTTACCAAATTTATTGAAAAAAATTCACATTTATGGGTTGAACATGGCTTTAACGCCACCTATTGTTCCAAACTGATGTGTCCCTCATCCTCTCCGGCCCCTCTGTGTCCTCATAGGAGCCAACACACACACACACACACACACACATGTTTTGATGTCTGTGTGTGTGTGTGGAGCTTTTCATCACTCATCAGTATATCAGTGCTGCCACACTCACTCTTAGAGGACTCGTAGCTGATTATGAAGCGGTCTACTTTCCCCAGACTGGGCGTCCACTGCAGCACGGCTCTGGTATCTGTCACATTGACAACTTGCAGATGTGTTGGAGGAGCGGGCACTGCAGTCAAGAGACAATCCATACAGTGTTTATTGTTGTTTTTTAATATAATATAAAATAGTCAGCACGTAAGAGTGAACTTATCTAACTGCATACCTGTGGTGATAACGGCCATGAGGGCGTCACTCTGCACTCTGGCGTAAGTGGTAGTTACAGAGATGATGTAGGAGGCTCCAGCGGACAGCTTGGACAGGACCATGAAAGACTGCTGAGAGTCCACGACAACAAAGCGGCTCTCACCTATAGCAGGACACAGCATAAATATCATAAGTATGGATCCACAGTGACATCAAACAAGAGGCTAATGACCTACAGTTTATTCCACTGACCTGTGACAATGTTGGTATAGGAGACCCTGAAGCCAGTGAATGTGGTCTTAGGTTTGGACCAGGACACAGTGAGGGAAGACTCCGTTACATTGCTGAAAACCATCTCTGTGGCTGGCTCAGGACCTGGCAAGATAAAAAAGAAGGCGATTTTTATTTACATTTATCTTTAGACATCCTTGAATATGTTGTTTCCTGGTACTGATTGTGTTCCTGGTGATTGTCAACTACCTGTAACTGCAGATACTCTGTGAATCTTCGATCTTCTCTCAGCACCAGTTCCATATATGTACAGGACGTAACGAGTGTTTGCCCGAAGGTTGCTGAATTCCACAGAGCGTACGCTGCCAGGCACAACCATGGAAATCCTCTTGCTTTCAACTTTGGTTCTTAATCCAATGGTTTTACTGGAGGAAACAGTCGTGTCTGTGCTCTCAGTCTGTACCTGGACCTCAGCCGGGTTCTTTGCTGCAGAGATCTTGTCTGATCCAAGAGCTTCCTCCTCGAAGTCTTCGTGGTCATCTTCATCGCCCTCGGTCCGAGGCTCTCTCCTGACCACGGTGTAATTTTTGAACATGCCCTGTGGTGCTGACCATGTGACGGTGAAGCTGTAGGACGAGATGTTCACCACCTTGACAGATCCTAACCCAGATCCTCCCATCCCTCTGCTCACCCCAGAGCCATGGATGCTTGTTTTGTTCTGCGAAGCTCGAGCCTCGTCTGTCGTTGCCATGATGCTTGTGTTCACTAGGTACTGACTCTTCTGTGTGACTTTCTCCTTTCCAGCTTCAGTGTTTCTATTGTCAATAGTTTGCACATTAGTATTCTCTACTTTGATCATCTTAGTGCGTTTATGTCCAGATGATTGGGTGACATTCTTGTCAGCCAGTGTTGACTGCTCCAGAGTCTCCTTTCCTGTTCTGGTTTTGTTTGTTCCTATGCCTTTGGACAGAATGGTCACAATTTTAGCTGTGCCATTAGATTTCTTAACGCTACCTTGCAGAGTTACATTGTTATGAGGTTCATCTTTCAGCTGGTCAGATTTAGGAAATGTTTTACTGGCACTTCCTTCCTTAACAAGCTTGAGGTCAGTTTTTTGGAGAACCTTTTTAGAGGCCTGGATGGTTTTGCCTTTGCGCGCCTCCTCTTGCTTCCTTCCCTCATGTTTCAGGAGAACTTGTCCAACAGTTGGGCAACTGGTTTTTGTGGCACTTGAGGAACCTTTCATGATTATTTTTTTAACAGAAACTTCTTGTTTCACTTGTGTTTTAACAGGACCTGGTTTAACATTAGTGGTCACTCTGATTTTGCCGTCAAACTCTTTGGCTTCACTGTCCTTCTTCTGGTCCTTTTTCTGCTGAGTCACTGTCTCCACTGTCTGTTTGGCCTTTCCTTTGGGAGCCTCTGAAATTTCAAAGCAGAGATTTTAAGAGTAAAGTGTGAAAGACATATTGGTCAAAATATGAATCTCTACACTGAAAAAATTGTTGGACCATTTTACTTCAATTGGTAACTCATAGATTAATTAGGTTTGCTCAAGTCAAGATAATAAATTAACACAATCTTTAACCTTAATATGAAAAAACGTATTTATTTGGGTGTTACCAATTCTTTTTAAAATTCTAAGCACTTACTTTTATTACACTCTGTCCCTTGGGCACACTTACTACAGTCTGGACCCATGAAGCCCTGATGACAGACACATTTCCCCTTCTCACATTCACCATTACTGCTACAGTCATCTGGACAATTTGCAGAACATGGACCTGGGGAAGCAACAAAAATAACCACAATTATTGATTCCACATCTCTAACAAGTTGTGTCAAGGAGAGTGATCATGTCAATATGAAGGAATCATACATTTGTCTTTTAGGAGGGACATCTCACGCTCCAGTCGGGCCACTCGTCCTTTCAGTGCAGCCATCTCAGTCTCACATGCCCCGTCGCACCCACCGG